CTCTCTCTCTCTCTCTCTCTCTCCCCCCCCCCCAGAAATGCTAGGATTAAAAGGCGTGAACTACTATGCCAGGCCCAGGGGGTTTTCTTTCTTAACTACTGAGGATTATCTAGAATGGCAGACTGGATTATTATGACTACCACAGATGAGACATGGAGCCCCAACAAGGGTCTCAAGGTCACAGTTGTGTCAACTTGCAGTAAGAGACAGAGACAAACTCTACACAAAGTGTTTGTCTGGGAAATGCAAGGATTTGCAGTCTGGGGTATTCATGGTTTACCATGATGGACTAAGAGATGCATTAGAAGTTGGGGGCAAATCCTGGGATACGGCTTAGTACTAGATCATTTGCCTAGCATGCATAAGGCCCTGGGTTCAATCAACAGGAAAAGAATCTAAAAACACAAGACATTTTGGCTGGGGAGATGGCTCAGTGGGTAAAGTGCTTGCTCTATAAGAATGAAGACCTGAGTTTGGATCCCCAGGACTCAACACCAGCAGAGTACCTTGTGTCTGCAATCCTAGTGCTCCCATGGTGAGATGGAAGGCAGAGACAGGAAAATCCCTGAATGCTCAAAGGCAAGCTAGCCTGCTGCACATAGCAACAAACAGAAGGCCTGTCTCAAAATAAAAGGCAAGGACTAACCCTTGAGGATGTCCTCTGACCTCTACACAGGTTCCCCCACCCTGCCCCCTGCCACAAAAGAGGTTGGGGCAAAGGGAAGCTTTCAAGAAAAGAGTCTAGGTAAACTGTTTTGAAGTAAAGACCATTTTTTTTTTGCGAGGGCTTGATTGCAGGAGTTGGCCACAGCTCATTGGCAGAGATGGCTATGTAATCAAGTGTCCTCATCCAGAGGCTCCTGGATCCTGGAATGCTGAAGGGTGAGGCATTCCTTGCAAGAGTTCTGGGCTTGTGGACATAAAGGCTTCTTCTTTGTAGTCTACATTCCCATATATAAAATGTACACCGTACAGGCTGAACATACTGAGCAAGGGCTTGAAGGAAATGAGGGATCAAAATCCAGTATGTGTAAATGTCAAAGTCAGTTGTTCACAGAAAACACAGGGCAGTCATGGGTTAGAAA